GACCACAACATTATTTTCAACCGAGAGAAATGTCAGTTTGGAGTGACACAACTGGAGTTTTACGGATTCAAATTAAGTAGAGATTGGCTTAAGCCAACAGAAGAGAAAGTAAGAGCTGTCAAGGAAGCTGCAGCACCAATTTCCAAAAAAGGCGTTCAGAGCTTTTTGGATATGATCGGTTATCTATCCAAATTCATCCCTAGATTCACAACATTAACGGCACCCCTCCGAGAACTCACACATAAAGCTACCAAGTTTAAATGGACAGAACAACATGACCAGGCTTTTAAAGTTCTGAAAGAAAGCATTACAAATAAAAGCACAATGGCATATTTCAATCCCAAGTTACCAATTATTTTATGCAAAGAAGCAAGCTTCAGTGAGTGATTGTCAGCAGGCTTATTCCAAACGACAGAGAAAGGCCTCCAACCTGTTCATTTTATCAGCAGAACAATGACTGATACAGAGAAGAGATATAGCCAGACTGAAAAAGATGCACTGGCAGTCAAATGGGCAAAAGATAGGTTGAGCATGTACCAACTAGGAGCTCCAAGATTCAAAATTATTACGGCCCACAAACCACTCATCCCCGGCCATGTTTACAAAGGCCCATGAGGAAACTTCACCATTTACCAAATTTTCAATTTCGGTTTTGCCGATCTCTTCTTATCTCTATTAATTACTGCTTCAGGGAATTTTGTAACAAGATTAATAGTGAAGCTCATTAGTTGTGAATAGTTCATAAGAAGACTAGCACAATTAAATCAAAAACTATGTTGTAACTTCTAACATAAGTCATTGATTTTTAAAATTTAAAAGCATATCTTTTATGATTTTTATTTGAAATTATAGCTAAGGTAATAAAAATGCCAAATTTTTTTGAACAACAGGTTTTTTAATTTGTCTAGCCTGGTTTTTAAATACTATACTGGTAATTTATTGAGAAACAGCAATGACTGCTGTGATAATGACTTTTAAGTAGAGGTATTCTTCTTTGATGTTTAATTGGATTACTGAGATAAGATTCTGGCAAAACCTGGTTCACCAACCCGCCTGAATGCCCTTTTAAAGGGTTTGCTGGTAAATGGGATAGTAACAGCATGCAACTAAGCTCCCACCTAGGATTGAGAAATGGGTCATGAGTATGCAGGATATGGATTTTGAAATGATTTATGAACCAGGAAAAGATGACAGAGATCCATTTGATTTCTTATCCAGGCATCCACTACCCGAAACAGAATCAGATGAAACAGAGTCAGACAGATAATCACAGATGAACACTCCATTGTTATGGATCACATTCTGAGAGAAACAGCAACCGACAGCCAACTACAGAAACTCAGCAAAATAATTCAACTCGGCGAGTGGGAGATGAACAGGAAGGACCCAGATATTCCACCATTTTATCACATTCGACATGAACTCTACATTGCTGAAGGGTTGGTGTTCCGAGACCGACAAATTGTCATACCAAATTCTTTGTAAAGAAAAGTGGTGAAAGTTGCCCATAATATGGGACACCTAGGTATGACAAAGACCAAGAGGATGCTCAGGGAACGATTCTGGTTTCCATCTTTAAACAGCCCAACGGAGAAAATAGTAGGCAAATGCTTCGAATGCGGAGTTACAACAAACGAACACAGAAAAGAGCCAGTCAAACCCACAGAAATTCCAGAACAACCATGGAGCACTGTATCAGCAGATTTTGGTGGACCGTACACAGACGGCCACTATAATCTTGTAGTCATTGACAAACGATCTAGATATCCGGTAGAAAGACTATATTCTACTGCATTTAAACCAACCAAGCACAAATTAAAGAAGATATTGCAAACAATGGTATACCTCACCGACTCGAGACAGATAATGGCCCACCATTCAACGGAAAAGACTTTGAAAATTTTGCAGAAGAGGGCATCGAACATCACCTGGTGACGCCGTACCATGCAAGAGCCAATGGGGAAGCAGAGAGCTTCATGAAATTGGTAAACAAGACAGAGCAGATAGCACACCTCCAGAACAAAGATCCAACTGAAGCTATGCAAGATATGTTAATGGGATACAGATCTACTCCACACCTGGCAATAGGGGTCAGCCCATATCAAGCAATGAACAAGAGACGAGTGCGAACTAAACTCGATCACACTGAACAACAGAAAACATCAGACCACGTTGAAAAACAGATTAACGACAATGACAGGAAATACAAGGAAAGAATTAGCAGAAACAGGAAGAAACACAACAAAGAACACTCATTCATCGTTGGTGATTATGTACTGCTTAAACAACAAAAAAGAAACAAATGGTCCACAGCATATGAACCAGCGTTCTACATAATATTTAAAATAGATGGATCATCCATAGGCGCACAACGATTTACCGATGGTAGACAGACATACAGAGATTCTTCAAATTAGCAAATCAATTCATAACGAATGAAGATGAGGAGGAGGATTGGAGAGAAAAACTACTTAGAGAAACAGTGATCCAACCCGACACATCAGGAGGAAACCCTACACAGAATTTTGAACATGACCGCATAATTCAAGCAACATCACTAACCAATACGGAAGACCACCATGACACTGGCAACAGTCACAGACCGATGAGACTACACAGACCTCCAGAATACCTGAAGGATATTGATTGTAGTGGTATCGCGGAATATTGTAAATTCATGATTATTGACAAAATAGGGGCAGAATACTCCCCAGTCATGTTGACCGGAGGATAGTCCACCCGATGATGGTCATACCTAAAGTTGTGTTTTACGAAGTTTTAATAATTGAACTGAAATTTTACCTGTTACAATTTGTGTTTTATGAAGTTTTAATAACTGAACTGGAATTTTACCTGTTACTAATGTTACTGGTTAATTGAGATTTTTAGTGAAGTTTACTAGTTATTTTACGATGGATGGAGCTACACTCACAAATCACTCAGAGACACTTGAAACTCATAGCATTGTTTTATTGGACTCTAATTAAATAATAACATAGTACAGCAATATACCATTTTCAGTATAACACCAAATGAATAAGCATCTTTTAAAAGAAATGGAGGAATGTAATATCCATTTGCAATCGTTGGACTTGACGGCCGCCCATAGTTGTTGTTATGTAGGTTGTTGCCAGATTAAATCTTAGTGTGTTAATTAATGCGTTCTGTATATCATTTATGTGCAAAAATGATAAATGTGAGGACACCACAGCTGCTGTTCTAGCCACATTCCATTATGACCACTCGGCTTTCTCTCTTTCTTTACAGTGTGCCTCCAAGTTGTTTTGGCCTACCTCTTCTTCTCCTGCATTCTGGCTCCCATGTCATAGCTGTCATGCAGTTGTCATCATGATCTCCGGATAGTTTGTGTCCTATTAGTGTCCACCTTTTTTCCGTACTGTGTTGCTCAGTCTCTGCATGTGGGTCTTTCTTCTCAGTCAGCTGATTTCCCGGCACATTAACAAGCATTCATTTGTCAAGAAACGCAGTCCTGGAGAAACGTCCATTGTCTGAACAAAACTCTTAAATTTTATTTATTCATTGCTTTTAATAGATTTTGTGCTTTATTCTTTCATATTAATTAGAAATTAGTATTAGTGGATGAATTTAAAGCTCCCTATGAGCCCATTTCATCTCAACTTTGTCACATAACTTCAAAAATGCTTTAAAAATGTATATCAATGTTGTGATATTAAGGACCATTTATTTATACATTCTATACATTTATATTTTACTAGAATTTTCATTACATGCATAGTTTATCTAATACAAAATTATATACCTATACTATTTTGAGAGTTACATGTACAAATAATATCCTACAATCCAGTTAAATTGAATTGTGTGACCCTTTGTAGAATATATGGTTTTAGTCAAGTACGACATTTATATTAAAATTTGCAAATCATAAGTAATGTGAATTTATATTTTTAGGTGATATAGAAGTCTACTTTGTTGAGGGACATACAGGATGGCAAACCAAGGCTAAAATTAAGGAAAATGGAGTACATAGCAACGTGAGCCAACTACTGATATTTTGTGTTTGTTGATCTATTCAGTAAACATTTTTTTTGAGTTGAATATTTGTTCCTTTATTTTATATTAATTGTTAATTATGTTGATTAATCATTAAAAAATCTATTGATTTTGATTATTTTTTATAATTGCAAGTACAA